CACTTGGTAAAAGCCCTTCAAACAAGCTAGGGTTCAGTTGCCACAATAAAAGACTAATGTCACATTCTGATGTGGGATCTCTATATAAAAGATAGTTATTTGAGCTTAATTTCATGCCAACAAAGATAGGTGATATTGCCTGTAGTGATATTTTAACTGAATCTAATCCATTATTTAATCATAACAGGTTCATCATGTGGAAAAATGAACAAAGCAAAAATTAATCATATTTCTATGGCTTTGGTTGTGTAGTAGCTAGCCATTTCTATCTGGAAGCTTTAAGTGTCTTAAAGTGCCTTCTTTGTTGTTTAACTATACTTAACTTTTTAATTTCTTTCTGGTTAAGGTGGAATGTTTGCCAAATTAGTATCAAACTTTAAAGGCAAAAATTAAATTACATTTACTTCAACAAAGAGAGAATATGGAGGGATCAATGGCAGACATCACTCTTTTCTAGATTACCTAAGTAAGATCCTTAATTTAAAATGAATTTAGAATACATTTTTATAGGCACCCACAGCTAAGCACTGAGCCATACTCCTGGAAACCAGGAGGAGGAGGGAGGAGGGATGAACAAAGGAGTCAAGGCCATGCCGGAGAAACCGGCAGAAACAGCTGACCTGAACTAGTGAGAATACAGGGACCCCAGTCATAAAGCTGGGTAACCAGCATTGGATCAAACCAAACCCTCTGAATGTGGGTGCCAGTTAGGAGGCCTGGGCAGTCTATGGGACCTCTAACAGTGTAACCAGTATTTATCCCAAGTGTACAAATGGTCTTTGGGAGCCCATTCCCTATGGAGGGATACTGTTTCAGCCCAGATACATGGAGGAGGGCCTAGGCCTTCCCCAAATGATATGGCAGACTTTGATGATCTCCCATGGAAGGCCTCACTATCCTTGGGGGAGCTGGTGGGGGATGAGTTGGGGGAGATGGTAAGGAGCATGGGCGAATAGGAAGGAGAGGGAATGGTGGGATTGATTTGTAAAATGATTGTTTATAAATAAAACATGTCAAAATGTGTTTAGAGTATTCTACCTACTTTCAAAGCAAATGTTACACAGCAAATAATAGTATCACAAAAGCAAAATCTTTAAACAGAGGTTAGGTATAGTCTGTTGATTTTTGTAGCTTTCACATCTTGTACTTTTCCCAAGGCTGTAAGATCAAAGATTTAATAATAAATTGATATGTTAAAAATTACAATATATGCAGTAAGAGTAAGGGCAAATGGTAGATCAAAGACAAACTCCCATAAATTCTTGGATCACAAAGTTAGAAAACTTAAGGATGTCCTTACAAAGTAGCTTGATAAAAGACTCAGGTCTTTGCCCTTAAGCTGCAAAACTTATCAGCCATGGTTCATAACAAAGGTCAGTACAGAAAATGAAGAGATGGTATCAATGATTGGTATTGCTCTCTGTAACAAGACAGAATCTGTGGGCACTGTTATATTGTCCATGAAGCACTGTTTACATGATTTCCCTTGGTTAAAAGCTTTTGATGTTGAGGAATTATGTTCCCATGCTATGAATTTTCATCATTAAAAAGGAATTCTTAAAATTTAGCTTTCTACTTCATGTTAGTAAGTACACTTATGAAAACATAAGGGAACAATGAGCAATAAAGTGTACCTTATTGTTTACCCAAAAGATAAAATTTTGGATTTTAAATACTATATGTACTAAGAATTGGGAAAGACACATAAAACCTTGAATCATAATGAAGTTCTCATCACATCTGAAATATCTAGAAATGTCACTTACTCCATGGTATCAATTATTAGTGTTACAGTCACACAATAATTGAAAAAGTCAAAGGCCATCAAACAGCCAAATATAACACCATTTCCTTCCTACCACATACTATCTTAATTACTTGTAATATGCAGAATGTGAGTGTTGCAGAGAGAAAAGGGCACCATCCTTGGCAGGAAACTGAAGAAACTATTTATGCACAGGATATAAAATCTTTCTAAACACTCTCTGAAGGTAAGCTGCAGACAGGGCTCAATCTGTTCCTACTGTGGGAAGTGCCAAATATCATGACGGTGTACTCATCTCTCAACAACTACAATGGGAAAGAGTGAGCTCCAAAAAGTGATGAATGAGTTTCTCTCAAAACATCTAACATATACCTTGGCATAACTCTGACTACTATAGTCAACAGAAGTCTATGGAGTATCTATTATATGAACAGTACAGTATTACTCAGTGTCTGGAATAGTGAATGAAATAATTGCCTCTTGCAAATTCATGTTCTGAGGTTTAAAATGTGAAGATGCTTTTATATACAGGTTTATATCCAACTACAAGTTGAATCCTGATGTCACTTTTGAGAGGAATTTTCCAGGCCATAAGCATCTCAACTAAAAGTATGTGTTATTCACATCTAAATCCTATATGGGCAGTTCATCATTTTTTTCTCATGTTCAATCTCCATCCTAATATTGTGTCAAAGTTTTTTACTATCTCTCTGCCCATAAAGTTCTAATTTATATCTCCTTTCTCCAACACACTTATCAGAATCCACTCAACCTATGTAGTACCTAAGTCTGCAGTTTCTAATCCTAAAAATGATTTTTAACTTACTGAAATTACTGATCATTTTTGCTATCAGTTATTGACTGGACTGAGTTTCACCTATCACCAATATAAATGTGGAAACTCTAACCACCAATGTTGCTACTGTTTTGGGGGGAAAGACCACCAAAGAAGGAATTGTTTTCAAGTGGAACCCCACCCAGTGCATCTTGCACCCTAGTAAGAATGCCAAGGGACACGAGGTGCACACATTTGGCTGTTATCAAGGCAAGGAAAACATACCCTAGAGTAACCAGAGCTCCTTCCAGATACAATGGTCATGAACCAACAGTGTCTAAGTCTATGAGAAGCATTTTTCATTTAAATATGATCTGCTGCTTTGCTGTGACAGCCCTTGTAAAGCAATATACTTCTTGTTTGTGCAGAGTACTTGTTTTCTCTTAACTATTTGATGACAATACTCTGAAAGATGAGAAACAATATGTCAAACTCTTACAAAACTAGGGGCATGTTATTTGCTATAGTGGTGTTAATTGATTACATGCATGAATATATGAATGAATATTAAATTAGCAGCCTGCGGATAGTTAAAGGGGAAAGTCTTCCCTAAGAAATTGTAAGCCACCTGTGTAAAGTAGGAAGAGCAAACTGAAATATAAATGATCTTGAATTATTCATAAATCTTGAGCTTGAACATGGCTTTTTCAATTAATAAGTATGCATACTTCAGTCCCACAATATTTTTAAATTGAATAACAACAACACTTGATTTTGTGTACTATTTGAGGCAGACAGAGAACCTTATGCATGAATTTCCAATTCCTGGTGACACTTGGTTAATAAGTGTTATCTACTCTGATCATGTTCATCAGTTCTCTTAGATAAAAGAGAAATTAGTCAGAAATAGAAACCTAGAAAGGAGTTAAAAGTGTTACAAGAGATCTGAAAAAATGATCTGGAAAGAAAAGCAGGGCAGAGGTGTGTTGGAACTGATTTTACCGGAAAAGCACTCTAACCCTTCCCACCCCCAGCAAACCTACCCATACTAGAAATAACAAGGAGAAAATGTCTAGATTCACATAGGACTTGAGAGTAGGCCAGATGGTATGGCCCACACAAAGAATACAGAAGGAGGAGGGGGCTAGCAAGGATTCATGTGCAATACTAGATCCTTAGTCCACACTAGCTAAGTAAATAGGGCAAGCAAAGCAAAAGCTGATAATGGCATGGAAATTGTGCCTAGTTTTCTTCTCTGATACTGTTAATTTTTTTTAGCATTAGCAGGTCATGCCTTCCCAAGATTCCACATTCGAATACACCCTCTTCATGAATGAAACAGGACTGTTGTACCATGATCATGGTTATGATTAAACCCTAGCAATACAATTTCACCTTTATGATCATCTCATTTCTCACCTGTTGTCTTAATACACTACTATATAACTTGTAGTCACTCAAAATATTAATCTGTGATTTAGAGTTCACACTACAAGGTCTTTATGATTTATGTTTATAAAAAGGGCCGAGTACATATTATTATCCATGAAGTGGCTATACTCTCAGCGGTATAATTATAGTTTATATGACATTAAGGGCATATTTATGAGCCCATATTATTTGATGACTTTGTAAGGAATTTTATGATTACATTTTCATCAGGGAGGGTAGTCCTTCTGCCTGAGAACCTTGAAGCATCTGAGAAGCTTTCCATTAGAGCATTAGCCATGGGAAGTTTGCATAAAGAATTAGGTGCCTTCCCTCAATTCAAGGTTACACACTGGGTTTGCAGGATTCATACTCTCACCGAGACTAGCTTGTTCTTTCTAGTAGTTTTTATCATCCAAGTGAATTATTTGGTATTTCACAGCTCTTGCTCCTAAACTGTAATGCTTTAAAAGTTCATCACTCTGATAATTTAAGGAAAACAGGAACTAGATTTAACGTTCAGTGAAATAAGCAGATATAAACTAATTTTGAGAATATGTTGAGTGATCATCTTACTACTTATTCACATTTATAAGGAATTTATTCAAATAATATAGCATGTTTATCACGAGCAATTACTCAGAGATAGTAACCAATGCTGAAATTTGGAGGGCAGAGATTCTCGATAGAATAGATTTGCGGAGTAGAAAGTATCAAATGTTGCAAGTGAGGCAAGACAGAGTAATGATGGGGAATGTCCTTCTGTGTATATTTATCTTACTTGCTGTTGAATAAAGTACTGTTGGCCAATGAAGAAGCAAGTTAGGCAGAACTAGGAGTCAAGGAGGATTCTGGGAAATGTAGTAGGAAGTCTTGTGATACAGGCAGGAAGTGGCATAGCAGGGCAACTCATATATGAGCAGGGACAAACAGGAAGTCGCTCTCTTGCTCTTCCTCCTGCTCTCTGCTCTAGACCTGCCATGTGATCCCAGGAAGAGGACACCAGCAGAAGGCGTCATCGATAAGATAAGTCTTATGATTATGGTTGATAATTAAGACTGAGCTAGCAGATGAGAAGTCCTAGTCTTTGGCATTTGTACCTAATATAAGTTTCTGGGTATTATTTGAGTCCCTAACATGGCAGGCAGAACTCAGGTGGCTTGGCAGAAAGCTCCCACGTGGCATCAGGGCTTGGGCAGCTTTGGAGTAAAGACATATCGTTACAGAGTAACTTTATCATCAGACTGGCACAGTAGAGGAAGAAAGAATAAGGGGACAAAGATTGTGCCAGGATGGAATCTTTACCCCTTAAAAGAAATCTGTGATATGTTGTTCAATTACATATATTTTCATAGAGGTGTCAGAGTGCTATGGTTGCACATTTTAATTTTTAAAATCATTTGTATTCTTTGTGTATATGTGTGGCCTGAGTGTAGGTATGTGCACCATGTACATGCAGGAGGCTGGAGACCAGAAGGCTATGGGAATTCTGGAACTAGAGTTACAGGTACTCTAGGGGGTGAGTAGTGTGAGTACTCAATACTGAACCTGGTTTCTCTGCAAGGGTAGCAAGTGTGGTTAAATACTGAGCAATTTCCTCATCCAGATATTTCAGTTGATAAATTGTAATTCAAATAAAATGTACTTCGTGTCTTCTGTACAGAATTTCTAGTTAGATTTTCTTAAGTAAAACAAAATACCACTTACCTAAAGCATACTTGCCTGCATCAAGGGAGGTTATCCTCAGGCAGGTGCCTGTTTTGAGTGCTCAGCAAGGTGCATCTCCTATGCAAAGTATATCAAGATTACCTAACATAAACCTAATGACTGGAAAAAGATATGAGCGTTCCCTTACCCTCAGACTTGAGGATGCAGCCACTTATTTCCAAATCTACTATGTTGTACTAATTAATTAAAGATAATACTACTGCTGCTGCTGCTGCTGCTGCTACTACTAATAATAATAATAATATAGCCACCACTTACTCAATAACACCTTTCCATTACAATTACTGTTTCTAAAAGAGTGCAACTTCCACATTTTTGAGAGTCATCATAATGACTGGCTTAGTGGAAGACAGCTAGGCCCTCATATCATACATATATTTGTATGTAATATATTGAATATGCTGGCTTTTTAAAAAATATAAAAACAAAATTCTACATCCCCAAAGGGAGATGCATTTTGGTTACCATGCTCAAATAACTGGATAGTCTTTCTTAATGGTACATCAAACCTCAACAAGGGACAGTTTCTCAAAAAGCAGCTACAATGTGGAATTGGAATCCACATCAAGAAACTTTTGTACACTTTTCTATAAAACCATTCCTTTATTTTGGACATTGGCTAGATCATTTTTGCTAGATCATTTTTTTTCACATAGAAATTTCTAATATCCTGCATTAGATTAATAAAATAGTATTGTTCCAAGTTTTATTCAACTTTCAAATTCTCATGCATTTTAATATAATATTTATATGCTGCATTTTAAATGTCTTCAAATGATAATGGTGAAATGGTTTTGAAGTATTTGGAAGCTTCAAAACACGTAAAATTATTTCAGCAAATTCACATCATTCACTTTGATGAAACTTTAAAGTATGATTGAAAATATCCATCATATTAACTATTCTTTTCAAAACAAAATATGATTGCATCAATAGAGGAGTTACACTGGCTTTCCACTCAAAAAGATTTTATTCTTGAGACAGCGATTAATTTCTTTATGTGTAAGAATGAAATAATGTAGTTCATCATGCAAAATATTAATGCATTATAGAGATCAAGGGTTTAAAAGAAATGAGTATATTCTGTCCCCACATTCTGAGTAAATCCAGTTTCTACTATGTAAGCATTGAATAGATGAGGATACAAATAGTTTGTTGTCACTTTCTTAGGTCCCATCAATATCAAAGTCAATGAAGTGATAGACTTACAAGGCAGTTTTAATTTTCTATCTCCAAAACCAGTATGTTCAATTATATCTGATGTTATCAGTAACTAGTTTTCTTCTCCCAGACCCCACCTCTTCTCCACCACTTCTTTCTACTGGAACTACGATATGTGAAATCAGTGGACACAAAGCTAGAAAAAAACACGTTCTGTGTTGCAGAGTCATAGGCACAAGACGTTTATCTGTAAATTGCTAGTTGGGTACATTGGTAAATCCTAAAGCTGTGCTATTCTCTTTCTCATTTAAACAATAAATAAATGAATAAATAGCTTATAAATGTAGCATGAAATAATTTATAAATTATTATAAAGTCACTGCAGATAGGTTATAATACCTAATATAGTGGATTATTACATAAGTGACTGAGGGAATAATGACAAAAATGAAAGATAATACATATTGAGTCTAGATACAGTCATTCCAGGACTAATTAAGCTACATATATCAACAGTGATATAACATTTTTTCAAATATGTTCTATTTAAAGTTGGTTACAAACCTGCAGATTTGACCTTATATTATAATGTCCAAGGTAAAACATCTAATATATAGTTGATAACAAAAAATAACCAAATACATGAATGTTAATTTTCCCTAATTACATATATGTAACTTAGTTGTAATACAATGTGCAGGATGCAAATGTATGCCTCAATTCACTACGAGTCTCTATAATTATCTTCTAAAAATATGCAGTATGATAGTAACACATAATCAAACTTTATAGCAGATTTAACCTGGTAATATATTGTATCAAGGTTTTCAAACACTCTAATTCCATTTAAGAGCATTTTAAACTTCCATAGTCTGAAGAGGGCAGGATGGCATAAGAAATTCATCCAGGACATGTAATTACAGAGGATAACATGTGTACTACTAGGAGGAAAAAGTTTAATGAGTTTTTTTTTTTCATTTTCACATTCTCAAATGCAGTTGTGATTCAGTGTTCTCTGAATGCTATAGTAAAAAACGGAAGAGAATGTAGCACCAGGAGTTGGCAGGGTTCAGGCCAGACTGCAGGAAAAATATTTTTCACCACAGTAATTTTTGGAACATGCCAAATTCCACAATGAAGGGAAATGCTAACTAGGTCTACATTTATCTGGACTCCAAAAATAAATAATATGAAACCTGTAACTGTTAACCCAAGCACCTGACCTCCGAACAAGAACTGATAAATAAAATCATGAAATTATGGTGGAAGTGCTATCATATGCAGCTTTGTTGTGTGCACTGGGTATGCTGTCAACACTAATGGAGATTTGAGACCTGTGATCATAAACTTTGCTTGTGTGTGTGTGTGTGTGTTTCTGTGTAGATGTAGACATTCTCTGATTTTACAATTTTTTATTTTTGTTTTTTTGAGACAGGGTTTCTCTGTGGCTTTGGAGGCTGTCCTGGAACTAGCTCTCGTAGACCAGGCTGATCTCGAACTCACAGAGATCCACCTGCCTCTGCCTCCCGCATGCTGGGATTAAAGGCGTGCACCACCACCGCCTGGCTGATTTTACAATTTTTAAGATACATGTAATATGCAATAAATAGTCTAGTGTATGTATGTGTTATATGTTATATAATGTAGCCTGTAATGCATAGTAAAATGTTCAACCTAAGTGATGTTTCCAAAGTAAGTAAAGCATAATATTAAATGGCATTTTCTAGACGTATGTCTTTTCCAGAAGAAATATGTGCTTGTTTATGAATACAGTAATTCCATAAAAGCTTTAGATGAAGATGGATTGAATAAGCTCAATGATGTCAGAGCTTTTCTATTTCCTAACACAATCTTTGTACAAAAGTACAAAGGTATATGTGAGTTTAAGACAGGTTTTTATTTTTAACTCATTTTGTGTGGTAGTTTTTAAGTGACTTCATGTTTACATCTAACACACCTATCTATATATTGCTTGCATCAGCATTCTTTCAAAATAGAAGTTTGATGGGAAAAACAGGTTTGGTCTCTGTGATTTTACATTCACTGGCTGTTAGCAGGTGTTTAGTCAGTCACAAGCTACCATAGGAACAGAATTCTATCCTGTAGTTCAAATTGACTAACAGCTGAGATGGAAATAAAGCAACTGTATTATCAGTGTAAATATTCTGAAATTAAGCATGCTGATTAAAAATTCACAAATTTGACATTAAATTTTCTAGTGAAATAGTCATCACTGATATAGTCGTTATCAATGTTTCCTTCTTTATTATCTGCTCTTCTCTCCTTTATAATAGTCTGGAAATTAAATGCAGCATATTTCCATTACTGCACTGCTCAGTCTGTAAATTTAAAAACAGATTAGAGAATATGAAAGTGTAGATGCTCTCAGTAACATTAACTTGTCCAACACTGATTATACATAATTCCTGGATTGCTAGTTGGTGCTCTGAAAGTGCACTTTAATATAAGGCTTAGAAATGTAGGGAAATTAATGCTGTTATAAAAGCCCAACTTTTCATGTTTTGAGTTAAGAAGGTGAATACCCACAATCTTAACATTATATTAACATGGGACTTTGATATTTAATAAAATAAACTGGCTGAGAAAGGAAACTGTATTCACTCAATAAAAATTATGCCTAAGATCTTGAAAGCATCACTTAGAATATCTGAATTCAAAGGCAACAGATGAAAGCTTTAATGATGCGTTCATTTCTATAAATACTGATAAGTTATCTCAAAAAATGATGTCATTTCTGAAGAAAATTATTTATTATCTATAGAGTTACTAAGATATTATCCTTTACATAGACAAATTTAATTAATATATAGTGAGTAGACATATAAAATATTTATATATCTATTCGTTGCACTAATAAAGGAATTAAATGGGAGTACACTAAATAAGCAGTAAATTTTGATTCCTTTTTCATGTATCTTTTGATAGCTATCATGAAGAACAGTGTAACAGACAGTAAAACAAAACCATGGCTGATAAATAATAAAAATGGAGGTTCAAGGGCACCATAGATCTTCTATATTTTATTAGGTGATGCTTGAAATATATTTATAACCATATCTAGTTTTAAATAGCTGCCCAAAAAGTAACCTAGGGAATGATTTAACCTACATGGTACTTTTAATAAAACTTCCCCAGATGTCCTATGGTGATTTTGATGTTCCCTGAGAAAAGAACAGCCTCAAGTCTCGGGGGCATCTGTAGAAGAGGTACAGCTGGAACTATCTCTAATTTAACAAAATAATAATAACAGTAAAACATGTTTTCTAATGAAAAACATGAGATGATATATTCAGAAACTCTAGTAGTGGCTATTTATGAATCAACCCCTATAGACCTCATTGGGCTAAAACAGTAAAGACAGGTGCAGTAATTCCAGAAAGGCATAGTTAAACACTCTCCTTCTCTAGCAAAGCCCATGTGTGCGGTCAGCATGAATATGTGTGTGCTACATGTATGTGTGTGCTTGTGTGCAAGTGTGTCTGTGTGACTGTGTATGTGTTTGAGAAAATATGGTGAATAAAAGTACATGACTTGTGTGGATATAAAATTAGGAAAATTAGTTTATTTATATTGTTGGGAAAAGAGTTCCAGCAAGTAAGTTAGGTCTCC